TAAACCAGGACTCTTGCCTATAACTCAAATTTCTATTGGAATAGGTATAGAAATGGCATATAACCTATTAAAATGTGGATCATTTGTATTACCTTTAAAAATTAATCCCCCCCCAAACCAGCAGAGATATTAATGGCTGCCTAAAACAGGTTCTTAAATCTGTATTTAAATGCCTGATAAGGAGCCTGATTTTTCAGAAGTGTTTTATTTACACCAGCAGCTACATCTTTCCGTAGATAGTTGCCTGTATTTTAGAGATTTTCCCATATTTGTTAGTTAGTTTTTGCTGTCCGCAGCTCAGAGTGATATGCATCTGTGAATATACCACCTTGAGCTTCTGCTAGCTAAAGTGAACTTTAATACATTATGTGGATCCATTTTTTCTCTTTGTTGATATACCTACATAATGCCCACAAAAGAATAGATCACCTGGCTGCAGTGGCAGTGGAGCAAGTATAACATAAATATTAAGATATAATCAAGTAGTAATGAACACTGCAATTATATTTATATTATAATATTCATAACATATGAACATTCATTTTTTAAATGGGCTGCTGTGAAATGCTGAAAAGTTGGGGAGGAGTGCCTTGAGTCTAAAAAGAATGAAAAGGTTGAGTCCTAGGGACTCTATATACATAATGGACAGGTCCATACTCCCAAGAATAATACAGACATTAATTTAGATGCATTGTGATAGCATCCTAAGATTACTATCTGAATTGGGGGCCTCATATACTAGGCACACACATAGTAAGACCTCAAATTGCTAAAAGCATGAAATGGCATATTAAGAATATATCGAATGTATACCCCGTTAGGTTTGAGCATGGGTATATGAAAGATCAGACTCCAAGGATATAGGTACTTTGGGCTGAGTCGTAATCCCCTGGCAATCAATAACAAATCTCCATGGACTGTCCCTTAGGGCTTTAGCAAAGAGCTGAAATCTTGGGAGCTGCCTTGATCTTTTAATTAGTTTCTGGATGTTAAGGATTCTTTATTTGGAGATGAAATATTTAAACTTTGACCTCAGTTGATAGTAAATAAACAAATCCTGACACAGGACATTTGCAAACCTCACAGCTAAGGAACGATACCCCGCTGGACATGAATATAACCTGCCTACTTCAGGGCTTTGGCACATCACATGGTTCTCTGAGACTATGCTACCAAATTCCTCAGCTGTGCAGCAAGTCATTTTCCAGGCACTGTGAAATTTAATTAGAACAAGTAGACAACAAGAAAATAATCTCACTGCGCTGGTGAGAAAATAGAGGATTAAATAGAGTGTTTTAAAAGTATGCATACTCCAAGACAACTGAATAATGCACTATCCTTCTGCTGCGTTCTGTTTATTGCCTTAATGAGGCGGTAAACGTTACACATACCCACATCAGCCCACCTTTGTGACCAGCCTCATGGATGTTCAAGAGATGCTTCAGCAGCTATGTCAAAGTTAGCTCAAATCTATCTGTAGCTGCATGCAGAGTGGAATACCTTGTTAGGTGCTTCAAGTAAGCTTTCTACGCAGGGTGAAAAGGGGGAAGACAAAACTGGGCCAAGAAGGAGTCAGAGTGAGAGATCCAGAGTGTCGACATTCACCTTCTGCCAAGTGCCAGCCGCGGCAGAAGACTTTTTTTTTCCCCACTTAAGACAGGTGGGGGAGGGCTTGCTGTCAAGAAGTGTAGATGCAATGAAAGGGTGCTGTTCTGTTCTTTTCTATTTGTCTAAATGACCATATTTTGTTGTCTACAAGTGGTGCCGTAGGAGTGAAGTTTAGCACCCGGGGTAAAGCCCACAGTGGCAGCCCACCCTTGTCCCATGCACAGGTCTTGGGAAGACATGCCCCCACCATTCTTGCCCGGGAGTGCAGGCAGCAGCAGCCCACCAAACAAGCCGCTCACTGCTCCATCCCACTCCCTGCCCCGGTTGGGCAGTGCCTGTTGGCGCCCCTTTGCTTTGGTGCCCAGCGCAGTTGCCCCACTCACCCCAGCCCCTTGCTATGGCACTGCCTACAACATTTTTGGCATTCATACCCAGAGGAATGCTATGCCTGAATGTCTAACCCTGCACACATGAATGACTATGTGGGACCACAGTCAGACAGACTGAATATGTGCAGTAGCAACCTTAGACACCTAAAAATGGTGTTGGTCAAAGCCTGTGACTATCAGACTTAGCCTCAGGAACAGAAAAAGTCTGTATGTGTGTATCCCTCTTTTCTCTGTAGTTCAGTGGTTGGGGAGGGAGGTGCAGCCATCAGCCTGGCAGTGGACTGCCCTAGCCACTGAGCTATATGAGGAAAAGATGTGAATGTATCCTCTCTCATTCTTGCTGTTGGCCAGTCTGGATGTATACATAGTTGTCCATGTGTGCTGGGGTGTGTGTCCAAGAACAGAATCGCACTGGGGACACAAGGTTCCAAAAATGCCCTGTAGACAACTAAAAAATGACCATGTAGCTGATCAGGAAAGAACAGAATGTCACCCAAAGTGTTGTTGAGAGTATTTGAGTCCTGCTGACAGCACTGACTGTAGTGTAAGCTAAGCCTTTGCGTGTAGCCAAAGCTTCGAGCTATAGACACATAAATAAAGAAGTGAAGCTCAAGGCATACATCTGGAGTAAATTGTACCAGGGAAGTTTAGTAGCCTGTGCATTTGAAAGCCTAAGAAATAAGCAGTTCAGGATAGAAAGGCAGGCATTTGGAAATGTGACAAATTTATCCCTGATTCATCCAAGGGCACATTTGTTCCTATTGTGGTGAAGCTAAGCCTCTTTTAAAGGCTGTGTTATATGTTTCCAGCTTTTTAAAAGAAGGACAGCTTTACTTGCCAGGGGTTAGTCCATCTATGGGCCCATCTGCTTTCACTGGAGTTATTCCATACCTATTTGTGGAATAGCATCCACAAGAATCAAGATGAATAAGAATCAGATCAGACCCTAAGCATCTGACTCTTGTATGTTGCTTATTGACTAAATAGAAAGTCTTTCAAAGCTGTTGGAAGGACTCCCCTGCACTGCAATGAATTTTTGATGTTATGGTGATCCTTTATTCTATTCCTACAATTCATACACCAGATAGGTACTGCAGTTTTAGAGAAGCTTCACTACCATGGTGCGCGTCTCATTTTATTTCAAACATACCACTTAGCTACCACTTATTCTCATTACAACATTGGTCTTCATAACTCTGAATTCCAGTGGGGGGATGAAAGTAGTAACATCTGTTAACTACATTGTCTGGCTTGAGAAGTGTATAAATGCTAAGCCTAAGTACAGACAGTTAAAAAGCCTGAGGCAGAATTGATTTAATCTTTGCAGATTTCTCTAAACTGCATAAATTGGACTGAAAATGAACCGAACTGAAGTTTACTTTCCAGTTGGGACAGGCAGCCAGATGCTTACACCATTCCAGGCACTTCTCCCAGCTTGCCTGCCATTGCTGAGCTGCCTAATGCATGCTCCCAACCCCCTTCTGTGTCCCCCCAGGGAGTTAAGGACCTCCCCATCCAGATGCTGACCCATAAGGGGAAAAGCCCCCACCTCAGGTGTTTCCCCCACCCCAGCCAGGGGTCCTGCAAGCCCTGGCATGTGGGAGTGGAGAAGGTTCCTCCCGCTATGCAGCTGGGCAGGGCTGTGGCTTAGACCCACCTTTGCAGGTGGAAGGAGCAGAGCAGGCTCTGGCCTGGGGTCCCCCATCCCGAGGTCCTCCAGCCTGAGACTGTCCTGCCACAGGAGAGGGGTGTTCCTCCCCCTCCATCCCCTCCCCCATGCAGCTGCTCAGCTCATCTGCTGCCTAGGTGGGAGGGGGGACCAGGTGCCTGCCAGCAGAGTCATGCAGAGAAAGAAAGGGCTGGGGAGGGGGGATTTCCCTTGATTCCCTGCGGTCAGGCAGGCTGGTGGACCCTGGGGCAGAGGAAACCCTCAAAGTGAGGGGTCCCCTGGCGGTGCAGGAAAAGACCTGTTCCCCCCCACCTCCAACCAGCTGAACTGAGCAGGTGCCCGGCTGAAGAGTGGGGGGGTTCCTTGCAGCTCCCCACAAAATGGCAGACCTGGGCTTAGTCGCTGGGGCTGGGGCAGGGGGCTTTGTTTCCTCACCTCCCCTTCTGCTGTCCCTGCAGCAAGAGGCTTTGCTGCCTCAGCTCTGTGATAGCCTGGGGAGAGGGCAAGATAGGCGCTAGCAGCAGAGTGAGACACGTTCCAGAGGGCCACCCTACAGGGGAGGGGGTTGCAATATGCAGGGGAGGTGCAAAGCATCCTGGGATGGTGGGGGACTGAGAGGTAACATGAGTCAGGAAGGGATCTGGGACAAAAGTTTGATAGACTGGTTTACCCTAAATCAGTTAAGTAGGATACTACGTCCATCCAGATCTAACTTAAAATAGTTTCTGCCATTTTCAAACTGGTTTATGTGCATTGAACTTCTGTCCTAT